GCATGTAACCTAAAATTCAACCCTTTTTGCAAATATACTTATGGAAAAATATGGCTACAACAGCTTTGCCAAAAGGACCACTATTCTAAATGCACTGAAATTTTCTGTGTCTGAATTTGTTTAGTGCTTAGGTAGAACCATTCATCACACTGACATGGTGCTGTCAAGGTGTCTGTGGGTAAACTAGGTAGATATTCACTTACTGATGGAAGTAAGAATCTACTCTTGGAGGGAGAAGTGGGACTGGGTACATTTACATATTTAGAGCCATCCAAGCAGTGATGTTGCTTGAACATTTAAAATTGAGGAGTTCTCAGTGGTGGACACGGAGAGCAAGAAAAGTATGGGTCACACACAGGACTCTGGGGCATAACTTAAAGGTTAGAAGGGGGAAGAAGAGCCCCCAAAGGAGACTGAGAATCTATGGTATCAAAAATAGGAGGAAACCAGGAAAGTGCACTGCAGTGAAAGCAAAGGATACAGAGAGCTTGGGGAGGAGGAAGTAACCAATAATATAAAATGCAGCATTCCGTGCCAGTAAGAGGGTACCTGAAATTTTTTTTATATTATAGGGAGGAAAACTTAAGATGTCACGGACAACTATAATGAAAACAATTTTGATAAAATGATTCAGATGAAAGCTGGGTTATAATGGCATTATAAGGGTAGATAGAAAAAAGAAGTGAATGGGAGATGGGGAAATTATTCTCTTAGGAAGTTTGAATTGGAAAGGAAAAAGGAAAAAGGCAGGGTGTTAGTTATAGTTTGCTCAGAAAACCTCATCCTGTGGAACCAGAGGAAAGAGCAAAAATAGGTAAGGAAGTAAATAAGTTTAAGCACATGGGTATGGGTGTGGGAGGGAGTGACGAGTCCATGACTGGTGGCTTTGGTTTTATCATCAAAGAAGAAGGCATGATTATCTAGGGAGTAAGAGATTGAGCCCACAGGGGCAAGAGAAGAATATGGAAGATTTCAAGCAATCCGTGGAGAGGACATAATTATAAACAAGTGAAAGTATAGACAAGTGAAACTAAAAATCTGCAGGAGATCACAAATCTAAAAAAATTTTTTTAGACAGAGTGGAGATGAGAATAGGTGGCCAAAGGAGAATGCGGTGCAGGTTATCTGAGGCGAGGAAATCAAGAATACGACTGTTCTCAGAGGTGTTTCACATAAGTGTGGACATTTCTAAAGGGTATGATCAGAGCTGGGGTGAAAGGGAGGATGGAGCCAGATGCCGGAGCTCTTCCTGTATGGAACAACCAGGAAATGGGAAATGAAGGGGAGTGGAGCTGGTATGGTGATGGAGAGCAGAAAGAATCTGAAAGGAAGAGAGAAAGCTAAGTCTCTGAAGTTGCTTTGGGCCGCTAGGAGAAGCCAATTGTTGTTTTGTAGACACATAAGCCCTAAGGTGTAGGCACAATGCAAGGGTTCAGGGAGAAGTCTAGGTGATAGGAAGCCGAGTGGCAGATGGGATGAGAGGCATGGCAGGAACCCTTCTGTGTGTTTTGGATAGAGAACCATAGTTTATAGTAATGATGGGAAGGTTTAGATTTAACTGAACCAAAACATCCAGCTTTGGCACAAGTTGTTTTGTGAGGACCTATGGAGTGCCCTTGAGGCATGTGTTTTTGTTTCCTGGAGGCCACCTCCCCACCTGCAGAGGGCAAGCAGTTCCCAGTGAGGACTTGCTCTGGGTGAGTCTGTGGATCTTGGTCTTGGGTGCACATTTATCCCTTATGTCTTAATTTTCAGCTTGCCAGTTTTTGATACTGTTTCATCTTCCTTCAGATAGCTCAAAATCTTTTTCTTCTTTATGGCTGCCTTCTTGAGTTATTTCTATTAGTCTATAAAGGGTTACTTAATGGATAATAAATGAGAGCATAATGAGTCATTCTTCATGCACTTTTACATAGAAACTGAACAAGCATTGGGACTTGTGTGTGCTCTAAATGCCAGCATGTGGCTGGGGGTCTGTGCTCAGGGTGCATGGCAGCAATCAGAGTGACTGCACAAAGCCCAGGAAATGGTGAGACACAGTGGAGTGGAAACTGGGCAAGGGCCTATCCTAAATTAGCAAATCAGTCTTAGAGTGGTCAAGCAGCATATATTCTTCCTGGGATTCATCAGAAATAACAGGCTTGAGCCATGGGGCATAACGACTTGATGCATTAGCCTTGGGGAGGGCTGGTTTCTGAGACAATTTTTATGAAACTTGAGATGCAACTTCACTTTGCATGGTCCAAGTCCCTCAGACAGAAGGGTGAGTAAGCAGCATCTCCAACTGGAGTGTGGAGAGGGTAAGAAAAAGGGGGATTCCAGCAGAAATTAAGCAGATAAAATGCATCCCTTTGAACGCATTGTTCTTGTCAGTTCATGACCTATGGACATTTTACTCCATTTATGTATTTCATGTTGTTCCCTTGAATATTAAGCTCATTTATCCCTTAATAAATCAGAGCAAGTTGTTCAACTTTGCTTTTAAGAACTGTATTCATTTTTGCCCTACTCTGAGTCAGGCTCTGGTCACATTAGTTGAGAAGCTAAGACTTTTATCTGGATTTGCTCTGATTGACTCTGAAATGGTTACATAGGATCTAACAGGAAGGGACTTCTGCATGCAGAGCAGTCACCCTGACCTCACACACTTTTATCCTCTCTGATTTAGAGAGTAATCTAGATCACAGTCTTTATTCCCAGAAAAATAAGTTTTTTGTTTATCAATTCAATTAATGCCTGTCCAGCGCCTCTAGCCTTTACAATGCATTTTCTCCCTTGGACTTGCTGACTTCCATCTATTTCTGTGGCACGCAGGGATCCAAGCTCCACACCCTGTTTGCCACCAGACTGACATGTGCACTGTCCTGGGGAAGGGTAATTTATAGCTTGGACAGGAAGAAAAGAGAGATGAGTAGAACCAACTAATGAGGTTGGTGGAGGAGGAGGCCTCTTGGAAGGTGCTCAAGAGAAATGAGCAGAACTTCTGAGTTGAGGGAGGACAGAGGGATGCCAGCCAAGCCTGGTAAATGGTAGACAGAGAAGCCAGTAACACAGAGATAGCCCAATCGACCTTGCCAGGCCCCAGGGGATTGGGGGAAAGTGAGGGAGGCAAAAAGAGAAAACTGTTCAGGTTCCAATTCCCAACCTGAATTGGGAACCTGGCTCAGAACAGAGAAAGGGTGCAGATTGCCTTGGTCCCCTGGGCTGAGTGTAGTATTGGTCTTTAATTTCCTCCTTTCCTCTCCTTCTTACCCCTCCCCTCTCCTGACCTATTGAAACATCTCCACATTGAAGACTGACTTGATGTCATCACTCCAAACCATCAGTAAAGTTATAATTATTTTAATAAAGAAGAAAGGGAATGAGAAAGGGAATGTGACTAATGTTCAGGGAAAACCAGGCAACAGCCCAAAAATATTGTGTCTCCAGGAAAGCAGTGGAAGGAATATCCCTCTGATCACATCTGACGTCACCTCATGGAGCTTGGATGATTTCTTGGGGCTGAGAACTATTTTTCCAAGATATTATAAGTTAATAAAATGCTATTTGAAAGCCTTATCCCTTTTCTCCCAAACATCTTTGGTTCTTATTTTTCTTCTTCTTTGCTTTGATTCCTCCTTTTGAACTGGTCTTCTCTGGGATCTCTATTTCTCTAATGCTCCTTGCCAGCACATCCTACCCATGGGTGAATAGATGGCATCGACAGCATGGTAGAGAGGCAGCGCAGCAGAAGAAGGGTCATGTATCCTAAAGTGAGCTTCTGAGTTGGAAGACTTCAATGCCTGGTGGAATAGTGATCGCAAAGTGAAATCTATTAAGGAAATTTCCAGTGCAGGTTGAGGAGGCTATCTTCCCTGCTGATATAGGTCCCTTCATTTGCAATACTAGACCGTGGCCGCTGTGCAAAACAACTAGGGAGGTTAAGGAGCTCCAGGGCTCTGATTAAGTTGTTCCTTCTTAAAACCACTCTTCAGTGAGGATGATAAAACTCTGTTTGCTTATGGAAAGTTTTAAATTTCACTGGTGCCAGAAAACTGAAGGTCTTTGACTATATATGAGCTTCTAAAAGAGGCTAAATGCATTTTTCCTTTCTTGTGGTCCATGAGGCATGTGTTTTTAATAGAGCTTTAATTCTGTGCATAAGTATGCATGTAATATTGCCTAGTGCTTTGGAGGCCACCAATAAAGATAATGTAGTAAATATCACAAGGCAGTAGGAGTAGGGGGTGAGTTTCTGTGGATTCAGGGGTGGGAGTGGGAAATATACATACATTTACCATTATTTATAGTGGCTTTATGATGTCATTCACACCTATAAATCTTCTTTTACCACTTTAATTTTCTAGCCATTATTTTCCCTTTTCCTTAAAAAAAAATGCCATGGGCTGGGGATGTGGCTCAAGCGGTAGCRCGCTCGCCTGGCATGYGTGCGGCCCGGGTTCGATCCTCAGCACCACATACAAACAAAGATGTTGTGTCCGCCAAGAACTAAAAAAATAAATATTAAAAAATTCTCTCTCTCTCTCTTTAAAAAAAAAATGCCGATAGTAAACATATGCTTGAACAGTGACTTCACTAGACTTTCTGTTGTAATAAGTTTTCAATGTGAGGAAAAGTACCAGAGACCACAAGTTGGAAGTTGCTCTTCACCATGACCTGGGGATAATTCTGAAGGCAAAGAATTAGTAATATCATTGGATTTTTTTTCTTGAAGAAATAGTTGGGGTGTAAGTGGAGAACTAAGAATGATGTCAAATTCTGAGAATCCATACAGATATCATAGTGTTATAAAATGTAGCATATTATGTAACTTGGAATAATACCCCACAGGTGTATTAACCCCTCTCTTCATATCTTCATGGTAGCCTGCTCTCTGCCTCTGCATCCCTCCAAAAGGTCATGCTGGCTGGGAATTCCATCAGAGTGCTTAGGTCTGGCCCTCCTTTTCTCTAATTACCCATGCTTTGGTGTGACATTTTCTCTTCTTTCATGCTCTCCAGGGCATACATGAGTGTGAAGGAGCTGAAGGAGGCCCTGCAGCTCAACAGTACTCACTTCCTCAATGTCTACTTTGCCAGCTCAGTGCGGGAAGACCTGGCAGGTGCTGCCACCTGGCCTTGGGACAAGGAAGCTGTCAGTCACCTGGGTAAGTGAAACAAAGGCCATATATGGCAGAAAAACAAAACAAAACAACCCCCCCCCCCAAACCCAAGGAGGTCTGAAGGAAATCTGTGAAAGTGAGTTTGGGGAAAGAAGAAGGAATGACAAAATAAATTTACTCAATGAATTAACTGCTTTGGTTGAGGATAGGTTTTTGGAGATTCTATCAAAATATCTCAGTGTAGGCCAATAAAAGGTATTAGAGCAAACAGTGGCAAACACCCAAGATATTCTAGACTGAACCTATAATTTAGACTCAAATAAATTGCTGGTATGAATAAGACTCATTTTAAGTCTTAGAGAGCCCCAAGAGGAAAACTAACCAAAAGGGACTAGATGATGGGACCTGCTTTACAGCGATCACTGTACCAGAAACTGGTGGGCTTCTTGTGTGAACTGGGCTTTCAAGGAGAAACTGTGAAATTCCAGAAGGTGGGGCATGCCAGCCCACCTAGGAAGAGCAGATACTGAGTATAACAACTGTATACTTAGGAAAGATAATCCCTTTTACAGTGTCTTTTTATTCTATAGGGAATCATACCAGCTAATAAGGGTCATTAAATTGGTTTATTTATCATGTGAAAGAAAGAACAATTATCAAGTACAAGTTGTATGCATTTTCAAAGAATATTAGATATAATTATACCAAAATTTGTTTTAATAATGAATTATCATAATTCGGAGTAATATTTCAATATTTCAAAGAGAATGGCTAGAATTTAGAAATCATTTTATAGGTGACTTAAAAGAGGTCATGTAAAAGCTACTCTTTTTGGTTATAAAATGTGAAGCAAAGAGTAATAAATTAAAGGAAGATTGGATAATGCTGTATCACACACCAGGTATAATAGAGTCATTGTGAAATGGAGTCTAGGACATCTTGAATTAACAAAGAAAATCTGAGCAAATGTCCAAAGATAGCTAATGTTGTCAATTGGAAAAGAGAAAGATGTTGAGTCAATTAGCAATAGATAAAAAAGCATATATATTGTTTCTGTTCAAGAAGGAAGCAGAGGGGCTGGGGTTGTGGCTCAGTGATAAAGCACTTGCCTCAGGTGTGTGAGGCACCAGGTTCAATTCTCAGCACTGCATATAAATAAATGAATAAAATAAAGGTCCATCAACAACTAAAAATATATACATTAAAAAAAGAAGGAAGCAGAACATGGAAAACCATGAAGTGAATCAGGTTGCTATCTTGAGGTATACACACACATATATACACACATCTCAGGCAATGAAAGGGATGATAAAATTAAGTATATATGGGTCTAAATCAAATGCTTCGTTAACATGTGTGGCTGAGTTTTATTGGCTCTGTTGTATCTGAAACAGTTTTCCGGTTCTAAAGCAGTTCTTTCATCATGAGCTTCATATTTTTAGTTCTCAGTACATGAAATACCAGAAATTTATGATGTTATTGGTAACCTGAGGCCACTAAGGCAAGAACATTGTTTGTATTGATGACCTATTTTCAAGTACTCCAATTAAGAACCTGGTATTTCCAGGGATCCAATACAAACCAAAGCATGTGTTCAGGTTCATTTGCAATTATTGTAAGTGGATAGATCACCAGGGAAAGAGGGCTGGCTGGGGCGTAGATGCCATCATAAAGATGACTTGTAGGTGATGGGCAGCAGTATGTGGATGATAGTTTTAGCAAAAAAAAAATCTGAAGGATTATGGTGGGGCTGACAGAGAATGGTCGTGGGTTTCTTTCACACATATCCAAGATGGTCATATAAACTGAAGAGGATCCTGTGCTCCAGGTGAAAGCCAGTGTGAACCAGTCTCATGTTCATGGTGGCAATGAGTGGACTAGAAGGTCATATTCAAATAATCCATGGAATAGTGAGTTTGCGAGACTTGAATTATCCTCATCAAAAGTGACAGTTGCAGAGGGTACTCATCACGCCGTAAGATAGCACCTCCCAAATCACCAAAGGTAACCTTCTTGGTGCACCTGTAAGGGGTCCTGACAGCAAAAGTTACTCAGAAGCAGTTTCCCTGGGCCTAAGAATATTATTGAGAACTGAACCTTAAAAAGTGATCTTCCTGCCCATCACGGAGACAATATTGCCTGATAAGAATCACTGGGCTGAAGCAGATCCCTAAATGTTTCCTCACTTTATCAGAGCTAGGGGCATTGGCAAGATTCATTTAATGTTAAACAACTAAATAGACTAGTTAAAACTTAACTATTTGAAGGCGTCAGACAGAGGCCAAGGCACAAGGATTTCAGGAGTCTAATCCCAGAGAGAAGAAAAACACATTGAAGTGAGCCCTGTATATAACTCAGGAACATTGTCAAATTTCCAGTGAAAGGAATAAAAGCAGATTAGAGAGCAGCAGCTGGGAGCTTGCTTCAGTCTCACTAATGGGGAGACAGAAATTCAAGTTCAGRCCCAAGATTTCAGAAAAACAGAAAGCACACAAGTGAGCCTGATTTCCTGTTGTGATTTTTCTTAAAACATTTGCTAGATATTAAACTACACATTCTTAGGGCCAATGGCCAAGAAAACAAGTAGAAAATAACCTCTGAGAGATTAAAAAAAAAAAATCTAAACAGTGATCGCAGGAGTCTCATGAGAGGGGGAAAGAAGATGGAGCAGAGGCCCTGTTGAGGGGGCACTTGGTTTCCCTCTATGCAAGTGAAACAGAAATAGCCTAGTCACACAAAGGCAGCAAGCCAGCCTGAAATACGCTTAACCCTTATTTGGAAGAGGCTTAGCTTCCTATATGCTAAGTGCCTAACAAAATGAAATAAAAAATTATCCGGAGGGAGACAATACCATCAAGGGCCTCTACAAGTTTTCATGTACAATGTCCATCAGTTAATAAAAAATTACCAGTTATTCCAGAAGACAGGGTCAAATGATGTAAACAAAACAAAAATAAACTATCAAACAATAGATTCAGACCCTAGGTTATTCAGATGTTGGGATTATTGGACACAGGTTTTAAGATGATTATAATTAACATGAAAAAATAGATAAAAAGATGAAGAGTTTGTTCAGAGAGCTGGGATCTAGAATCACGAATCAAGTGGATATTTTAAATCTAAAAAATAATACCAGTAACTCAAATAAAGAAATTAGTAGATGGGTTTATGAGCATAAGAATTAAAGGTCTAGAAAGTTTACAAGCTGAAGTTCAGAGAGAAAAAGTGATGAAAAAAAATAAGAGAGGTTGATCAATATTTGAGAACTAATAAAATGTTTCTAATATAAATTGGAGTACTAGAAGAGGAGAAAGAAATTGGGGGCAGAAGCAATATTCAAAGAGATAATGGCCAAGCATCTTGCAAAATAACAAAAGAAATCAAACTACAGATTCAAGATGTTTTGCAAACCCCAAACAGGATCAACTGAAAGAAAATTTTATCTAGGTTCATTATGAGCTAAAAACCAAAGACAAAGACAAATCTCCAAAAACGAGAAAAAAATATATGTTACCTTAAAAAGTACAATAAGTCAGACCTGCTGACTTCTTAACAAAAACTGAGTCATAAGACAACATACTTATATCTTTTTTAAAATGCTAAAAAGTAACTTACAATTCTATATTGGCAAATATCTTTTAAAAAGAAAGAAGTTAAACATACTTTCAGACAAATGAAAACTGAGATAATTTATGCCAATGCAGAAGGAAATGCTACATAAAGTTATGAAGGCAGAAAGAATATAACCAAAGTTAGAAACAGAGATATGTCAAAAGAAATTAATAATTATGGAAAGGATAAAAATATTAAAAGCATGATAATAATGACTCTTTGGCTTTAAAATATTTGCATAATTAAATTATGCCAATAGAATCACAAAAGACAGGAAAAAAGCACATGAAATCACAGTGCTTCTTTGCCTATATCTCTAGAAAAGGTACTAATTTTAGTAATAAGTTAAAGACTAATTGAAGACTAATTGAATTATCTCTAACTAGCTAACTAGAAATGCAGGAGATAATCCAGAGAAGTTAATAAAGGATAAGAAAATGGTAATAAATATCATGCAATAGAAACAAATTGTAAGACGTTGATTCAAATCTGTTAGTAATTACATTAAATATAAATGGCCTAAACACACCAATTCAGAGCCAAAAATTGTCAAACTGAAAACAAACTCCAGCCATGTGATATTTCTAAGAGACACATCTTAAACATAAGAATTCTAAGGATTGAAAATAAAAGAATGGGAAAATACATGTATTCAAATAGTAATCCAAAAAAGACAGTGTAACTTTCTAACATCAGATAAAGTACACTTTAAGGTAGTATCATCAGAGCTGAATAGAACTAATTTTATTATAAAAGTAAATTCAACGGAAAAATGTAACATGACAAATTTGAGTGTAGCTAAGAACAATACCTTGAATATATGTAAACAACATTTGATAAAAATGTTATCAATGATAAAAAGATAATAAAAATAAAATAATACACAATCATACTTGTTGGTTTAAAATAATTTTCTCAGGGGCTGGGGATGTGGCTCAAGCAGTAACACGCTTGCTTGGCATGTGTGGGGCGCTGGGTTGGATCCTCAGCACCACATAAAAATAAAGTAAAGATGTTGTATCCACCAAAAACTGAAAAATAAATATTAAAAAATTCTCTCTCAAAAGAAGTACTAAAATAATTTTCTCAGAAAATGATAGAATAAACAAACATTCAGTAAATATATTTGAAAAACATGATTAAAAAACTTGACTCAGTAACAAACTTAGACCAGTGTATTAACACAGAATAGAATATACATTCTTGTCTTGTCTTGTTATGGTTTGAATATAAGGCATTCCCCAGATGCTCATGTGTGAGACAATGAAGGGATGTTTAGAGGTGAAATGATAGTTTGTGAGAGCTATAACCTAATCATTAACCTAATCATTGGATTAATCCAATTGATGGATCAACAGTTTGAATGAATTAGTGCATAGTAACTGGAGGCAGATAAGGCATGGCTGGAGGAAGGAAGTCACTGGGGATATGTC